GGCCTGCGCCCAGGGAGGGGGGCGGCGGGAAGATGGCAGCGCTGTGCCGGCGGGATCGCGGCCGGGGGGCACTGGGCTTTACCGGGGCGCTTGGTCGTGGGCGATAGACAAAGAGGTGCCCTCGCACCGGCTTCCTGGACCAAGGCCACCTTTTGCCGGGGACGGCAGTTGTCGGACGGAGCCCCGGCAGTGCCGTGCGGGGTGTCCGCGGGCCCGTTCCGCTCCAGGAGGCGTAGGTGATGCGAGGGGCGGAGGAATGCCGGGTTGACCCTTCAGGCGGGCTCAGGGGTGCAAACTGGGGATTCACTCCGCTCGCCGCCATGCCCGCCCGTTTCCAAGACTAACGGCCCTTTGCAGACCCCCCTGCTGTGCTGAGCTGCGCTCCTCTGGCAGGTGGGCTGCTGCCCCTCGGGGTGCTGCTCTGCCAGCCCCCGGCCCCTCTCGGAGGTCCCTGGGCTGTGTGGTTGAACCATCGGGGCCCGGCTGCATACCTGGGCCACTGTACTTCAGTCTGGGCCATTAGTGTAGGTGTTCAGCTCTTCCCCACAGAGAGTGGAAACCTAGCAGCAAGGCCTGCATCAAATCTGTCAGAGCTCACCTGCCAGCCCATGCCTACCCTGACCAAGTCAGGATTATTAAAATGTGTAAAGGTTTCCTTTATTTCTGCTCAGAGTTCAACAAAACCAAGCGGGAAGAGACTGGAATGAAATGGTGGTAACGGAGAGCATTCAGAATAGGTGTTGTAAGGAACAGAGAAGAGAGGTATCTGGTTTTAAAAGTGGTTAGGAAGTCACTGCATTAGAGGAAGGGTAGCTGTTGCAATCTGAAGGTATTTCGAGAAGCTGCATTCACTCCTACAGTACTAGGAGAGGAAAGGTTTTAGGTAGATAAGCAAACAGGACGTTTTCTTGGTTTATGCCAGCCCTGAAGCTTCCTGACAGACCTTGCCAGTTGTAAACTGCAGCTGAAATTAACATCCTCAAGACAGGAATGGTGACAACACATACCCCAGGGTTAGGGCTACTGACTGATCCAAGTGCTTTTTGGAATTATTAACTATCACTTCAAAAGCTCTACTGCCAGAGAATTTGAAATAAACTGTGTATGACCTTATTCTGGAGATACTTACTTAAACCAGAGAAAGGTTTGTCTTCCAAAAATCTGCAGCTGAAGAACTCTATTGCTGCTTCTTTTAGCAGCCGATTAAAATTATCACTTAAAGATGTAACATAACAGAATTTCTCTGTATGCATGTTGCAGTTCTTGCCCCTTTGAGCAGCAGTGTCATCATCTGCAGTACTGATTCCTGGAAACTTCAGTTGTTAAATATAGAGGTTATGAGATTTGGGCAGGCATGAATAGATCATTGATGGCTCTCGCCCTTCTGCATAGTAAGCCTTAAGTGTCCAGAAAGAAAAGAAAATGACTGGTGTACTGTGTGTGCTCAGCAAGGACGTAGCCTTCCCCTCTGCAGTCGGTAGGAGACCATCCTCATGCTTTTCTAGCAGCTAGGCAAGATTTCTATTTTAGAAATTTTTCTGTACTACTTGTAACAAGAAGCCATCTTGTTTTCATTAGTGAAAGACAGTAACTTTCCTAAATCCTGATTAGTAATATTTTTTTCTTCTTTCTGATGTACTGTTCAAAAGACAGCTCGCGGTTTTCTCCATTTTGGGTAATGCTTACTGTGCTTGTGAGTTGTATCATCCTACTGCCACCGTAAATTACTGCATCAAAAAGGAAGCACAGCAATGACATAAATAAGAACAGCAGTGAGCTAGTGTGTTCACCCTCCCAAAAGGTAGAATGAGCCACTTGTGGGATAATTGTGCATTCACAGATTGCACACTGCAGGGTACTATGCTAGAAGCACTGTGGTTGTAAAGGAGAAGTTGCTAGCGGCTGTTCGTTTTCTTCCGTAGCTGAAGACTGGTTGTAGGTGGGTGAAATAGCATGGTAGAAAAGCAAAGCAACTCACATCAGAATGAGCCTGACTACGGAAATGCTTTCCTTTTTCTTTCTGTTCAGTGCAGGTTTAATTCCTTTGCATTCTGTGACTTTGTCTCTACAGTATTGGTTAATTATGACCCTAAAGGACTGTAAAGTAACAAAGGGAGAAAAAAGTCAAAATCCTATCCTTAGTCTTTCATATGTTGAGGTTTCTAGTCTATTAGAGTCTGTGGCCAGGTGCCCTTTTCTGGTAAGGATAAGGTGCTGATGAGAGACTACAGACCTGCAACTACATAAAATGCTAAGTGCAAATAGCACTGAAAGAGAATAAAGCTGCTGGGGAGACTGTAATGGATTATGCTAGGAAACAGTCCTGAAATCATGCCATGCAGTTTTCTATGAGAGAGAAGTACTAGCAGGGCTGCTCTGAATGTGGCACAGCGTGTTCTAGTGACTGCTGCAGTGGTGGTGATGTGAAAGCCCGTGTTCAGCTCAGCATCACCGAAATCTTTGGCGAAGCTTTGGATGACTGAAATGACAAAGGAGTGAAGCTTAAGTGCAGAACCCTTTTGCCATTAAGTCCTTCCGCTGAGTATTTTGCTTCACTCATTTTGGAGATGGGCATGTAAGACTTCTGCTGAAGAGAAAGCTATGCTACTGTCTGGATTGTCAGAGTAAAATACCCTATCTTGCTGCTGCTTTTTTAAGGAAAACAAAAAGTATGTGAATTTAAATCTTAGAATTTTGGGATACCTACTAGTAGTGTAATAGCTGATGCAGATTGCTGTTTGAAGTTTGACACAGGCCCCAGCAAGTATTGCAGGTATTCTAAAGCACATGAAACATGAATATCAGCATTTGAAAATACTGTTTTATGCATCAATAGCAAAGTATATGACACACAAAATACAGCAAATGGAGAGACTAAATATTTACAGCAAACATACCAAATATGTAATTTTTTGATAAGTGTACGACAGTATGTTAACAGAATGTAGTCCTACTTGCAGTGTCCTTAATCTCTTGAGAAACTTAAGGCTGTGGGGTTAACCTGTAGAGAGGAATGATAGTGACTGCTGGGCAGAAAAATGCAGCAGCTATCAAAGGGCTTGTTGATGTGAGACTGGTGACAAAATTACCATTGTGTTATAACATTAGTCCCTCGGACTTTGGGGGAGAGGGATAGGAAACTGGCCAGCTGGAATCAAGTGTACAAAACATTGTTCAAACCTTGGGCAAAACTCACCACAATACAAACAGGAGTGCAATTGGGCTACCTTATCTTTAGCACAGAGAACTGAAAATCCATGATTTGTCACATACCTTGTATCCTTCCCTTTTCTGCAATGACTTAACATCTGCCATTCACACTGAAGAAGGGAATTGCTGCCAAATGCCAGAGGAGATTTGGAATTTATGTCATTGCTTAGCTTCGGTATTATTCTGAACTTGAAAAACCAATAGAGGAACATTAAAACAGGAAAATTTGGTTATCAGTTTAAATGTAAGATTTGCAGGTCTTTTATTGGAGCAAAAGCAGCATCAACAATATAATTAGATAAATTATTTAGGTAGCTGGCAGTATTTTCTTTAAATCTGCTGATCGCAGTGACAGAGGGGAGCATGTTTATCTAGAATGTTTCAGAAATGATGTAGGCATTAACAAGTAAATGTGGGTTGTAATACTTTGATATAGATAGGAGTAGTGAAAGTGTTACAACAAAAATAATTATACTAATCAGCTCAACTGTATGTTTTTAATAGCTCCTTATAGCCACAATGGCAACGTCATCTGAAGAAGTGTTACTGATTGTAAAGAAGGTGCGTCAGAAGAAGCAGGATGGAGCTCTGTACCTGATGGCCGAAAGGATAGCATGGGCACCTGAAGGCAAAGACCGATTCACAGTCAGCCATATGTATGCAGACATAAAATGTAAGTGATCACTTTTCCTATTCCAGCTTCAGTAAGCAGTATTTCGATAAACATTTAAATACAACCCAAAGCTTATTTGCTGTGAAATGCTGGTAGGTAAAGATAGGAAGGTTGCAAAGTTTTGAAGCTTTGACTATGTTATCCTGTGTAGCAGCAGAGATCAGGACTGTGGGGAAGTATCACCAGATTATTAAGGATGCTACTGCAAAACTTCATTAGTCTTCCAGTGTTTAAGTTGTGCAGCATTTACTATTAACTTTTGATAAAATTCTGCAATAAATTGGACAGGAAAATAATCTGTGCCATATGCTTGTGGAGGGAAGGGTGGGAGGAGGTTTGAGGAAGAGTATAGGATTTTCAGGGTCTAACACAGAAACTATCTGGCATGTCATCTGTTAAACTATTCATCTAAAGCTGTTTCAGTTTTCATATAAAATAAACCTCGCTGTTTTATTTTCATCCAACAGACCATAGCTTCAAAAGTGCTAGCTTCTGTAGTTTGGCCTAACCGGGTAACATTCCGAATAAACGTTTGCTGTTGCAAAAGCAGAGTAGTTAGTTGCAAGTCAAAACTGAACAGTAAATGCCTATAGCATGCTGCCTTTCTGGCTCCAATTAGTGCTCATATTCCATGGGCTGTAATGCCAAAGAAGGAATAAAAAGAAAGTTGTGTGCGTCACTTGGTAAAGGTTTAGTGATTATTGCTGTTTAAAGTCACATACAAATACTGCAGCATGATCAAAAGTATGTGTGATGAATCAGAACTAATATGCTGTTTTCTTAAAAAACTAATGTGATGAGGAGTTTAAAAGCTCTGTTCACCTATAATAATCAACATTGTGAATGTTTTATTTAGCTATTTACTTACACTTAAGCGGCTTATATTTTAAATATTTACATGTATAGGCATTGAAGTCTTTAACTTAGATGAAAGATGTTCTTTTTTGTCATCTAAAATTTTTAAAAGGGCGGGGTATTTGTAAATTTGTAATGGGGATAATGATTTAGTGGTGACATCTGGTCCTGTCTCCCACGTGCACTGGAGAAAGGGATAAGATTCCAATTTACGTTAGTGCCATTTGCAGTGCTACACTAAAGTCAGTATAGCACAGCAGTCCATAAACGTAGTTATTCTAGCCTCTGCTCCCTCTGGTTACAAGAAAGGAAGCAGGAGTTTGGTTTTTCTTATGAGTCATGAGGGTGTAATACACCTTGGAGGCATTGGTGATCGACTTTGGGAGTACTAGTAGCTAAGTGTGCTTACCACACCACTTGAAACCAGCATACCTTTGCTGTCAACAGACATGCTGTCACCCCACCCTGCATCTGCTTTCTTACCACTTTTCTTCTGTGGGAACTGGTCCAGCTGGAAGAACAAAAGGGGGTTACTTTTCAGTGAATGAGTTCCTCGGTTCAGCTTACTGCAGAAACACTAACACTCACACAAGAAAGGCAGCAGAAGAAGTGGAAAGGGGGGATGAGGCTGTCACCTTTCAGCAGCAGCCTGGATTGGTACCAGGTTAAAGTGTCCAGATGATGACAATCTAATTTGCAGCAGTTTTCTAATGGAGGATGTGGGGAATGCAAAGCTGAATCAGGGCTCCTGAGCAGTAGCTGAAGGGTACTGAGCAATAGGCTCCTGGTGTCAGTGTCTTGTGTTTTAGAGAGAACAAGGTGCAGGGTTCAAACTAATTTAAGGGGAAGACTATCTGTTCCACTTTCATGGCTGGAATTCACACCCAGGATAATGGTATTTAATTGGACAATGAAGTTAACTGCTTATAAGCAAATACTCTAGGGGAAAGAGTTTCTTGTATAAGCTTACTGTCTGTTGCTAATTAATACACTCTGTGTTATCTAGGCCAGAAAATCAGTCCAGAAGGTAAAGCTAAAATTCAGCTTCAGCTAGTATTGCATGCAGGGGACACAACCAACTTTCACTTCTCCAATGAAAGCACAGCAGTGAAGGAGCGAGACGCAGTAAAGGATCTTCTCCAGCAACTGTTACCCAAGTTCAAAAGGAAAGCTAATAAAGAACTTGAGGAGAAGAACAGGTAAAGGGAAAGGAGCCTGAAATGTTTTTTTAATTGTTGCCTAACTATAGTGTATTTCTGCTAACAGTTGTTGTTATTGCAACATCGTTAGTGATATGGCATTTGTTTCTCTAGTAAAAATCTCTCTGCTTTCAATTTAGAGGCAGTTCCTTGAGACTTATGGAACTGTAACGTGTTGAGACTCTATCTGTGTTCTCAGTGACACGTTCTTGAGGTGTAAAGCAGCCAGCCCGGCTGCCACCCAGTCTTTGCTGTCCATGGCTATGAGATGAAAGCACTCAACTGCCAGTCTGTCTCTTTAGTCTTTTTAAGTATACATGTATCAGTTAGAAAAGCTGCTTGAAAGTTTGGGGTTTTTTTTTTTTTTTAAGTTCTCACTTTCCTTGATTTGTGGTATTTATTTTTTTTTCTCCCTGTATAACCTTTTCCCCCTCAAATCTTCTTTCCTGCTGTTTATTATATACTCATTTGTTAGGTGTTTTCATGCATCTCACTTGAGATCCAGTAATTAAACAATAATAAAAATCCAGGATGTTTATTCTAAAAATTGTTTTGAGAAGACATTCAGGACCTAAGCCTTTTTCCCCAAAGGGCTTTTAAGACATGCTTCCGTTTGTTTAAAATGTTTGTGTTAAACCAGTCCTTGTGGCCATAGAGCACCTTTCTCTGCGTCTCCCCGGATGAGTTTCATTTCATTCTAGCACCTGCTGTGAAGCCTGTATCTACTAGCTTCCATTCCAGAGATTGTTCTAGCTTTTAACTTAGGTAATTTAAAGCTAGATTTTTCAAAACGTAGGAACATTGCCTCACTGGGCAGATCTGATCTTTACAAGAAGATTTCCCAGCAGAAGGGCAGGAGCCCTTTTGCTGGAGCTCTGACACATCCAGGATTAACTGGTTCCAGTACTGCAGCAACCACCAGGGTCTACGGCAGTGCAGACTGCTTTGGCACTGCTGCCATACTAGTTGCTTTATGCTATGTGCCCTGTTTCTAACACTATAAATACTGAGTACATGGGCAGTCTTAATCTTTGTACCCTTATATGGAGTTTTACAGTATTATGCCATGCAGCATTAAGAGCTTTTCTAGTTACAGAAAGACAGGATCTCTGTACATACTCATAGTTTACTCTTTTAATGATGAGAAGTCTAAGTCTAGTGATGGGGCTTCATTAGCCTAATTTGCAAAAGATGAGGGAAAAAAGTTTCAACTGTTTCTGGAAAGGTACTACATCCAGAGTCCCTGCGGTACTTCCTCTGTTTATTGATATGTGGGTGTCTGGTATGTACCAAAAGTCCAAGTTTTAATGAAATAATTAGAGTAACAGACTGCTTCCTGCTGCACTAATTTGTAAGAACTGCTACTAATCCATATCTGTACCAACAAGAAAAACTGGAAAAACCTTGGTGGTTAAAACATAATAGGGATGTCATGCCACAAAGTTTTCACTTTCACCTCATCGTACTTCATACTTAGAGCAGCTACAGACTTCCATTCAGTCCAGACCATGTACTGTGTATTCATAAGATTCCTTTTTTGTTTGCAAATGATCAGGACCCTGAGGTACATGTTAAAGATTGCTGTGCTTATTGGTTGATTGTGAACATGCATGCATGTTTCCCTGAAAATAGCCTACTGGGTTTCAAAATAGCTACACAGCTTGTATGAAAAGCTGCTTGAACATGAATTAACTGAAGTTTCAGGTGCATACATTATTTGCATTTTGGATAGTAAGGGTGATACTTGATATTTGGATGATAACTGCTGTGAAAGTTTTATTCCCTGGTGGAAGTGGCAGCACTGAATGTTTCTGTAACACTTGTGCTGCTTGTGATAGTTCAGAGATGAAGATCCTTCCTGTCACCAACAGAAACATAAGAAATGACTCGGAGTAATGTGTGTTACAAGGTATCTTATCCCATCCATATTTTGTAAACTGTACTCTTGCACTAGAATAGAAACTTGTAACTACTGAATTTTAAGATCTTAAACAAGAATTGGATGGTGCTGAAATCTCTTCTCCCCCTCCCACCCCAACCTTGAGACCTTTGTTAAGGAAGTTCAAGAAAATTCATTGTGCTTTTACAGTTCAGGAGACTCCAGTCCTGGACATGCAAAGACACAAGAGCACCGCAGAATATTTTAGGACAAGACTTTAATCCCACATTAACTTTGGTTTAGGCATTACTATTTTCCAGCATTTAATGCTACTTCTTAAACATTTTTTTAGTCCTTTCTTAAGTCTTTTGAGACAAATACAGCTATTGAGGTTGGTTGTTTACACAATCTTGTTAAGAAATGCACAGCATTTTGAAAGAAAAGTTGGTTTCTGTTCCTTTTGTGAACTCATGTTAGTTATGGAAATCCTAGTGATTTATTCTGCAGCGTTTCAATTCTATTCAATACGTTCTTTTACCAGAATGCTGCAAGAAGATCCTGTTTTGTTTCAGCTCTATAAAGACCTTGTTGTGAGCCAAGTAATCAGTGCTGAAGAATTCTGGGCCAACCGTTTAAGCCTGAATGCAGGGGATAATTCTGCGGCACCTAGTAAGCAGGATGTGGGCATCTCTGCAGCCTTTCTGGTATGTTGAACCCCTAACGTGGGATTTTAGAGCAAACAAATCAGGGAAAGTGAGAGTCCTGCTCATGTACTTTATTCCTGTATACTTTAATGTCATTCTTTCCTGGTTCCTCAGCTAAACATCACTCTGCATGCTAGTTAGACTACTGCAAGTGTAAAGAAGAAAAAAAAAAAAAAAGTAAAGATTTTACAGAAATCTGCAGTCTCAAAATTCTGTCAATTTAAGATGCTCAATTTGAACTTTGACACTAGGCAGATGTTCACACTGCTGCTCTGCCTTACTTAAAACAGGAATAATGGTGAACTGAGTCACTAGATTACAGTGTATTAACTCAATAAGTTAAAGAGTATCTGTTGCATCATTAACATGCATAAATGAAGCTGCAAAGACTTGCCACACAAAAGGTTTTAGTCCCTCATCATTTTTTTTTTTAAACCAGTACATGCTTTCAGCTAATTGAAGAACAAGCTGTATATGTGAAAGCTCATTTTATTTCTCCCCAGATTGCACTTGTTACCCATTTGTAGAAACTGTGCTTCAGTAATCTCAATGGAGTCTAAAAGTAATCTAGGTACAGTCTTCAGATTCCTCCCACAGAGAGTTTCTACTTCTGCAACAAAATTCATACAGATTATGACTCTTCATCTGGAAGCCCATTTCCACCTTTGTAATGACTGTACACATCAAGGGTTTGGGAGGGAAAGAGGAGGTGGGAGTTGTTTTATGGCTTAGCTGCTGTACAAACACTTACTTACAAACACTTTTTTCCCCTAGAAATACCTGAATCAGATACCAAATGAACTTTTGATTGCTCTGGTTTCCTGTCTCATTATTCTTACACCTTGACATTAAAATAAAACAAACCCCAAACCTTCAAAACTGAAGCTTCCATTTTAACTGTTTGTGTTGACATTTGTGAAGAAGATGACCTCAGATATTTGTGTGTCCTAGTTCAAGTTAAAATAACTGTCTGGCTCTGCTCAGAATGAGTACTTCTCTAGGAAGAAGGTACTTCATAAACTAGAGTGTAGGTGTACAGGAAAAGGAATAAAAGAAAGCAGCATATGCAGTCATACTTTTTCCTGTTACCGAGAATTGGACTGAGTGCTTGCTCCAGAGCTTCCTAGAGAGATTACTGAGATCTAACTTGCAAGTTCTGACTAAGGCTTACCCTCAATTTCTAAATTCAGTGCTATTTATCAGTTATACTGAGATGGTTTTAGTGTACAAGGAAGTAAGTTGTAAGAGCCATAAATCCTTTTTTGTCACTTCATTATCATCACTGATTATTCACTAGCTGAATTGTTGAATGAACAACAAAAGACTAGGCATACACAGTAAACATGCTTACTTTTACTTTGAAACAAGGGTATTAAACTAAGCATACCTTCTTTTGACTGGTAGAGTGATCTTTGCTTTTCATTTTCTAAAGTTTAGAGTCTACTTGTTGAATCATCTCTTAAGTGGCAAGTATAATAAAGTAATTAATGCATGCTTTTCTCATTCTAAAAATACCTATTTGTGATCAAATATGCTATGGATTATTGGAGGAAGAAGATTATTTTATCTGCAGCAGAATTTGATTGCAACATGCTCGTTTTTTTCCTTCTCCAGTTACAGAAGGCGTTCAGACATGACTGTTTTTCCTCCCTATATGCTTTTTCTTAGGCTGATGTACGGCCTCAAACAGATGGCTGCAATGGTCTGAGGTATAATTTGACTTCAGATATCATTGAGTCCATATTTCGAACATATCCTGCAGGTAAGAATAGTGCTTTAAATAACAAATACATTCATTTAAAGATTTGGTTTTTACTATCTTACTGTGGGAAGACTAGAATTAGTCTAGTTAGTCTGAGCCTGGAAGTATAAAGGACCGTATCTTCAGTCTGCTGGATGGGAAGAAGCATGTTTGAACTAAAAGAAACTTCTTGAACTGAATGAAAACTTGATACCATTAAAGAAAAACATTTTAACTCGTTGTGTTGACCTTTTTAAAATTGTGAATAGATATTTTGTTCCCATGATACACTCCTCCTCAGAATTTCAATTAAGTCTTATTTTTCATGAAATCACCTTTGGGAGGGAAAGAATCCGATTTCCACCATTCCCCTGCACTATACTGAACACTGACACTGGTTCATTTTGGCCCCTAGTTAAAAAGGCTAGATCCATTCTGAGAATAAGTAGAACTCTGGCAAATCAGACTTTGTGTGCATGTGCAATTCAAATTAGAGTATTCAGAACACTTACGTGCATTTCTTTTCAAAGCATTAGCTAGCATTGCAGGGCATAAAAGAGTACCTGTTTGCTCATGCTTAACTGCTGCATTCCCTTACTATTAATCAGCATCAATGAAGGCAGTGTTAGACAGAAAGCAAGGAAACAAGCAAGCAAGGAAACTTTTAACATAAAATACCATATTAAGATTTGTGGAACGTTTTGTAATCATTATGGGTTTTGTTCACAGTAAAAATGAAATATGCAGAAAATGTTCCGCATAATATGACAGAGAGGGAATTCTGGACACGATTTTTTCAGTCTCACTATTTCCATCGGGACAGGCTCAATACAGGCTCAAAAGACCTCTTTGCAGAATGTGCCAAACTGGATGAAAAAGGTAAGCTTTTGACTTTATTTCTATAGTAGGCTCCTGCAGTCTTAGCTACATCATAGAGCACAACACCCAAGGTATATCTCATAAATGTAGCAAAGCTGAAGTCAAATTTTCTTACGTTCGTTTACTGGGCATCTTGTTTGTCAAACTGTAAAGTGAAAAGCTACAGATTGTCACTGAAAGTTAGCTATTGCTTTGCTATTCTTAGCATGTTTCACAGTGAGTGCATTTCTTGAAACAAATGAGCCTTTTGGAAAGTGGTAGCACTAGAAATAAGTTTTATTACAACTCATGCAACAGGAAATCTGCGATAAATTCCATAATATGCTATCATGCTAGATTGATTATGCTGTGCCATCAGCTGCTACAAAATAATTTTTGTTTACATAAGGCCTCGTTTTATAGTGTATGCACAATTTACAACAGGTATAGCTTTTGTTACAGATCAGTTTTTAGTAATAGATGGATATGAATCTTCTGTCAGATTTTCCAGAGGAGTTGCCATCCCTGTTCTCTGTCAGCTTTTTTAATGTGAAATCTGAAAGCATTATCTGACAAGTTTTTATTGAACTTTTGAAGTGGGTTTGTGATGATACAGAAGTGTGGAGAGTTGAGATCACTTAACACCATTCTTTAATATGCATTCTGACTAATGAAAGCATTCTATTAGGAATCCACAACCCTTCACAAGTAAAACCTATCACCAGATACAAATTACCATTCTATCCAAAGCAGGGCAGCAAAACAGTGCCAAAATTAGAAGAAACAAACAATTAAGGCTTCCCAGTTCCATAACTGTGTCTTCAATTTATTTTTTTCTACCAAATAGTATTCAGTGATGTATGGAAGTTAATGAAAACTGCACTAATTAGTAGGATGATCTTTTACAGTAATTTTCCAAGTTTATTGCTTATTTTAAATGGAACTTTGAAAAGGGTTGAAAGTTGAAGTCACAGTGATACTTGAGCATCTGCAGAACCTTTGTCTTCTCCTTTTAAAAAGGTTAACTATAATAATACCACAATTATTTATTCTTGTTTGGATACAGTTTTTCATGTTTTTCTTTGTTTCATACAGGGTTAAAAACAATGGTGTCTCAAGGAGTAAAAAACCCCCTGATAGACTTAACAGCTTTGGAAGATAAATCATTAGATGAAGTAAGTATTTGGCAAAAAAAAATATCCCACGCACACCCCCACTTAGTTTCATTTAAGGAGAAAGTGGGTTCTTCTACTGTTAAAATAACTACAAATAGTGATTCTAAAACCCATCACTTACTAGGCTGCTGCAGTGGTTGGGTAGTCAGCATTTATACAGTTGTATGTGTGTAAAGAAATGGAGACTGTGCCCATGGACTTGTATGCCTCACGTGTCTGTCTTACTCTGCTGGGTGTAAAAGCAGGACTTCCCTTTTTTAAAGAATTATCATTTCACTTGGCATGGCTTTTTTTCGTCTAAAGTGGACTCTGGTTTCTTCCTACCTTTTAGAAGCTGTGACAACATACAGAAGAGTAGCACAAAACGGAGAAAGTCTTTGCATTTTTTCTCGCTTTCAACATTGCTGGTTTTTTGATTTGGCTTAATTTTAAGGACATTTTATACAGTTTTCTTTGTCTAGCTTTAAATACTATGTTTAAATGCTATGTTTTGCTAAAATATGTCTGACTTGAACTATTACCTGTCTCCAAGCACAAATTAAAACAATTGTTGTAACTGGTGTACCATAACGTGAAGTAACTTAAAGATGCACTTTTCTGCAGTTGATTTAACTTAAACTTTTGAGTTGTAATTAATAATGCTGTATTTCTAAGTTGGGTTGTTTTGGGTTTTTTTGAAAGTTGTACAAAACTAGCAGGCTGAAACTGGACTAGTTGTTTAGGATGGTATATTTGAAGTGTTAAGCAAACCACCCTAGTCTGCTTTTGAGGCTGGTTAACTGCAAACATGAAACTGGGCATGAGGTAGAGTGAGTTGCCTTCAGCCACCTGGTAACTGGGGAACACTGTCAGCAGTAAGGCTTAAGGTTTTTTTGAATTCCTAGTGGTATCACATCTTCCTGACAGGTGTCATTTGGCCTGTGGGCTGCTGGTGTCCTACAAGATGTTAAAAAGAGGTCAGTAAAACAAAACAATTGCTAGCTCTTATTTGCCATCAATGCCTGTTTGTACAGGTGATCCTTAATTTTTTTTTCAGCTAGTTGTGTTTTTACTTAGATCATGGTCTTATGAAACTATTTAAGAAGTTTTTTCTTCTCTCAGACACCTATAAACTGCCCAGTGTTAGCAGAATAAAATAGTCTATGGAGATTTTTCAAAGCACATAAGGTGATGGTGGGGCAAGGTAGGAATATATTGCTTCAGTTGATGATGCAGTATCACTTGGTAGAGTTCAGAGGAGGTGGCATGCAAGCTTCCTGACTCAATAGAAAACAGAATTGTCCTGGTTTTGGGGCAGGAGGTAACTAATGTTGTTTTCTTTGTAGGGCTATGGTGTTGCTTCTGTGGCCTCTACATCAAATGCCTCAAAATCTGCTAGAGAAAGTAGCAATGCTGCCATTATAAAACGCTTTAATCATCATAGTGCCATGGTCCTTGCAGCTGGCCTCAGGAAACAGTAAGTTTTAATGTTATGTAAAAGGTTTTTTGTAACAAATTTTAAGGAATTTCCAAAATGAAAATACATCTTCAATTACTCATCCAACCTTTTCTTTTAACTCTTATGAATGAAGTATTTGGCTCTAGAAATGAAAACGCCTTTAGTTTACATTTTAGTTTATAAAAGTTCTTCAGAGCTGAGATGACAAATGCTATTTTTAGCAGTTATCACACAAAGCATATTAAAAAGAAAGGATGTTTGTGCCTTAGCTCTCTAGCCCTGGTGAAGGCTGTGGTGTTCTGTTTGCTGTGTGGAGGTGAGGCCTGGTGCAGGGAGTTGCTGTTGCCTGCCTTCCAGGAGCAGGTCTGCCAGGGCTTCCTGTGCTGGGTGCACGGACATAATAAATGAGGAAGCAGAAGAACAGTGTGGCATGGGTGGATCAGATGAAAAATACCTCCAGTGTGGTACCCTGCCCCTGACAAAAAAAAAAAAAGTATTGGGTCGTTACGTGTATTTACAGTGAACTTCACAAATGAAACTTCTTAAAAGAGGCATGAAGTGGGGTTTGATGTGAAGTCTTCTTTACACTGGTTTATAGACGACCACCAAGGATTACTCCTCTACCCAAATCCCACAGACCTTACCTGTGAGAGATCCTAATTAAATACTTTCTTCTGTCTAGCTGTGCTCCCTCATGTTATTCTTCTGTCTTGCACAAATTGAACACTGGAACTTAAATGGTCTCTTCTGGGTAATGTGTGTTTCTGGTTCTCAGTTCAGAAGGAGGCAAAACAATAGCTCTCATTCTGTGAAATAGTAGTATCTCAGGGCTCCCATAGCTCTGCTAATAAGTGTGTATGCAGAATGTCTCTAACTTAGTCATAGTTTTGCTGTGTCCCACTTGCATTGTTAGCATGCTACTGTTTCTGAAGAGAGGGAGAAGAACCCTCCCCTGCTGTTGAATTTCCTCCTTGAAAAACAGGGTTATTTGTGGAGTTGATTCCTCCTATCTAGATCAACTGCTAGAAATGAAGACATAAGGGGGAAAAAGTTGACATACAGTATGTGAACATGCATATAAAATTTTTGAAACATGTGTATTTACTTTGTCTCTAGCTTGTATCTTAAGTTTCCTGTGGGGTGAATTCTTCTTAATGCTGTTTCTCTATTTTAAGAGAAGCACAAAATGACCATTACAGTGAGACCAGCAGTACGGATGGAAACTCCAGGGATTCAGATTTCTTTCAGCCACCAATGAAAAAGGTATAAAGTTAGCTGATGCAATTCTAAGTGAATGGAACTGGAAGCTCCATCTCTCAAAAGACTGCTGAAGGTTCCTAAAGTGATACTTACTTAGCTTTGCTTAAGAAGCATATAGACTAAGAACCTGAGGGCCTCTAAGAAGCTTTGTACCTCTGTTAGTAAACACAGATGAACTACACCTTGAAGTATTGCTCTGTTATCTCTTCAGTGGTGACCAACAAAAGTAAAAACTTTCCAATATGCTTCTGATTGGGCTCAGAAATCTAGTTCTTTCCATTCAGTACGGGTCTGTTTCTCCTCCCCCCCTTTATTTTTTTTCGAAATACCTGAAAACTTCTAGAGAGCATCCACCTGAAAGGGATATTGGTGTTCAAGCACCAGTGTTAACCTGTCGAGTGTATTGCTTGTAGAGGGGATGATTAAACTGGCACATGGCAATCTTCATCTTAAGGTCAGAAGCTGAAGTGAGGTTAAACTGAAAGCATAGTGATGCCTGGTGCCCTGAAATACAGGGCAACAGCCTGTTTTAGACTAACTATAGTGGCTCACAGAGTAGAAAAGAGTACTGTAGTTGCTACAAAAGTGAATTGAATAGTCTTGCTAGAGTTGACAGCTTAAAAAGAAAATACCAGGGGAACTCAAAACCTGTGTATATTGTGAGAAAAGGTTGTAGAATACATGTAGTCAACAGCTTTGACTTTCCTGAAAGCAGCAGTTTTTACTGGGGAGAAAACAATATACCAGGACTAGAATAAATGTGATGAAGAGTAAGAGAGTAGCATGAGAGTAGGAGACTTCAGAATTAGTTTTCTCATTGTACAAAGTCTGATATTGCTGCTCTTCTCTCTCACCACTAATAACTGTAGCTTTACTGTCACCAGATAGCTTGGGTAATAACTATGGTTTCAGTCTTACACTCCTGCACGCCAGCCATTAAATCATTACTATTTCTGCTAATCTGGAGATAGATGAACATAAATAGAGAGCACAAAGAATGATCTATGTATAGCAGACCGCTTTTTGGAAGCAGCAGGGACTGCAAGTTTTGGCCAGAATCTGCAGAAAAACCAACAGTGCCAAGACTTCCAAATTGCACACTTTAAACAGTATTGGACACTGCTCCCTCCGGAGGGTAGACATGAACCATTACACACTTTCATTTTCTTTAAGGTTTTAGTAATCCTTTCATTTAAGCTCAGTGAACTGGAAAAGAAAGTGCTAGATATGTTGAATTGTGTCCTTGTTAGTAATGTGTATAATTATTTGGCTTATTTTAGGTGAAACTGCAGGAATCCATTGAATATGAAGATTTAGCAAAGAATAATAGCATTAAAACTATTGCACTAAGCTTAAAGAAGTCTGATAGGTAAGTTAACAAAATATGCATGGCTATTTCAACATATTCAACCTAGCAGGTCTCTCATCACAGCCTGCACAGAATCAGCTGATTTAGTCTCTGCTGTGCCACACTCAAGTGTGTTTAGGCTAAGTTTAGAAACCTAATATGAACTCTTGCATAAACCACCTTCTGAGTGGAATTCCTGTTTAAATTTGTATTTTGATTTCATGGTGCTTTTCAGCAAGTTAAGTCTCTGTAAGCCTACTCTGAAGGGCTTTGATATGTAATTTCTGTGGAAGTCTAAACAGACCTGTATTCACAGTTCAGCACTTTGTTGCAGCTTACAGTGGAAAAATGTATGTGTTACATGTGAAAATATATATGATTCCAAGGAAAATCCACTCCCAGGCAAAAGAAGTGCAATCAGATAGTTTGGACTGCTCATTGGAAACATTTGAAGAACTGTCCATTGAGTCTGACTTCTGTTTACCAACACTCCTATTAATACACTTTTTCCTTTTCTCACCTCACAGGTATTATCATGGTCCAACTCCAATTCAATCACAGCAATATGCAACCAGTCAGGATATAATTAATTCTTTTCATAGTATTAGGCAAGAAATGGAAGCATATGTACCCAAACTAACTCAGGTATGGAAAAATACTCAAAAAAAATTCCCTTCTTGATGTTAACATACTGCTTTCTGTATAATTTGTGTCTGATGTCTACTGGAATTTTAATTTTTCAGGCTAAATGTAATTCTCTCCAATAGTTTTGTTATTTAGTGTGATTTACAACTTTAGATGATACCTTTTGAGCTATTGTGGTTAAAATCTAAACAATAGGAAACTGAGTCAGCCAATACTCTGAGTTATATTCTCCTGTTACAATCTTCTTTTGAGGAAATGGTAAAGGTATAAAGTGGCAAAGCAGAACAGTCATGAAGCATGAAGTGCTGGCCAATACTAATCATCTCATCCCCTGAAATTTAGGATGATAATGGTCTTAGGAGGTCATAGTAAGCAGGTTTATAACTGAAGAGGTCTTTCGCTCCTGAATGCACTGAGGTAGAATGTAGATCTCGCTGTGGGCTGCACAGAAGCTCTGTCCTGGCAACTGGAGGGCAGCACAGCCATGTAGCCAGTCTCCCCAGGCAGTATCTGAACTTCCTCTGTCAGTAAGCCTAGATTTGTCCCTGAGTAAAGCAGCCAGAAATGTGCATGTGTCACATTTCTGTATACTAATTCTGTGTCTCTTTCAAAGCAGCTGCACAGCCAGTTCACGTACTAGGTGAAGAAAAGGTTGGTTTGGCCATAGTTAATTGGAAGGCTTTCACTGAAAACATGAGCTATAGCACTTAAAAGGACTGTGTCTAATTCTGGAGAAGAGCAGACTCTTCATCAGAACTTCCTTTGTATCTGCTCAACTCTGTCTTTGCCAGTGGAGTTCAAATACAACCCATTTTAAAAAGATTCTGTTGGAAAGAGTGATCTGAAATATTTGTTCCCTCTCCCTTCAGGTTCTTTCAAGTGGTGATGCTACTAGCACTATTGCAGTCCTGTCACCTGGAGGAGCACTTATGCAGGGTGGAACACAGCAAGCCATAAACCGTAAGGATTTATGATGTATAATACTTTAATCGTATTTTACTGCATTATACAGCTGTACCTGGCTCCCTGTTTCATCTGCCTTTTAGAATATGTTACAGTCATAAAGGAAATTATGGAAACATGTAGCTGGAATAATAGTGGGTTACAGCAACTAAAGAAGAGCAACAGCTATGAGGGTGGTACTGGCTACACCAGTGCTGAGGCAAGTGAGTGAGAGAAAATTTTACAGAGCAGGTGATGAAGGATGCACTTGATACTAAGTTCCCTTACATATAATGGGTTTTGCTTGTTCAGCATTTCTCTTCTCTGTTTGTTTTTTTTTTTCCTGGATTTTAGCAAATAGAGGTGTACTCTGAGAAAGCTCTAAGGAGCCAAGGTCTAGATAATTGTCTGGAATTAGTTTTTTTGTAGCCTGCATTTAAAATCCACAGCTTGCTGTGAAAAAGGACAACTCTCTTGTAGACTGCAAGGGCAAAACAGACAACCCTTCCTTCTCCCATCTCCACTCAGCCACCCCTCCCTGTTGTCACATTCCAGCCAGTTTGAGTTCCTTTCTTCAGTCTCACGGCGGATGAACCCCTGTTCTCACAAGGCAGGGTTTGTAACAGTTTTCCAGTTTTAACTTGTGTTACTTGGTCTGAAGAGCAGCAGAAGCTAATTCAGACAGCTAAAAAAGCAGGTATGGTACTGACAGAAAGGAGTCAGCAAGCAGTAGTGAGGCTTTCTTACCCATCCTCGTTGAGATACTGGGTGGTACACTCCACTACTTTGAACCTGACCACTGCTCTTTTTTTTTCCTTAAACCTAACCAGCCTCACCCTAGAGTTCACTAGTCACTGTTCAGTTCCCTGTGCTGCTGTCATCCTCAGTTGTGCTTTTTGTCTTTGGTTTTTATGATGGTGGTTCCTTCCCTGTTCTTGAACCCTGTCACCCTTTCTTCTTTAAGAGTATCTGGGATAGAGTTCCTTCTTCCTGCCTGGATTTTTCATCTTCCACATGCTGCGACTGTATTCTTACTGCCAGCATGAGAGAGGGAAGAGCTTGCACTGTCCATCCCACAGCGTTTAGTGCTGTGAAGACAACAAGGTGCTGGTCCCAGAGGCAGTACTGGCACACTGTTAGAACAACACAAATATACTGCTTCTAATCCTGGATTAAGTTTGGTGTCCATTCTCTCCCTATATAATATACAAGCTTCCAGGTATATAGCCATAAATAGTGGCTGACCTGATCCAATACTGCTGGTAGTGCTACTTCAGGTGTGAGGCATCTCAGTGTTCCCTCCCAGCCAACCTTTCTGTGATTCTAGTAGAAACATATATTGCAGAGCTCCTTAGTGTAACCTTATATTCTCATTCCTCATATGATAGTTCTGAGTGATGTGACAAAACCTTTTTCCTGTTGCAGAGATGGTGCCAAATGACGTTCAGTCTGAACTAAAACACTTGTACGTGGCAGTAGGGGAACTGCTACGACACTTCTGGTCCTGCTTTCCTGTTAACACACCATTCCTAGAAGAAAAGGTAAGGCAGAGCTCCTTAGTGTGGCCCTGGTTATGATGTGGCCAGATCGTGGTTTAGAATGGCTATCATTAACTTGGAACTATGGAACTAGAACATATGCACTTCCTTATCTCGAGCACTGAAGGTCACAAACCAATGTAAACCGTTACTTTTTTCATCAGTTCTGCTGGTGCTGTTGGTTAAAATCATCCTTGTCCCTCCTGTTAGCCCCCTTCAGGATCAGTTGCTATTTCAAACAGAATGGTCAGCTGTATTCCAGCTGCAGATTTCTCATTGCCAGTTTAAAACACTCTTAACTAAAAGCCCCCCTTCCATGCTGTAAGAATAAGCTCCACAGTGTCAAGAAAGTTTTCCTTACTCTTCTATCCATTGCAAAAATCACTCAGTCATAGCTTCAAAACATACACTGCTTTTTAGAACAAAGTTGCCTTCAAGAAGAGATGTCTCTCTACAACCAGGTATAGGACTGTAACTTACATTTCTGTTGCTGTTCTTTCTTTTGACTTCACATGGATCACAAAGATAAAAATTTGCATTCAGATATGTTGGATTTGTTGCTGCAAAATGTGGCCTGAAAACCCATGAAGCAAAAAAAGATGGGTTTTGTGCATTTCTTATCTGTGGTGTTTACTGACAAAGTAATAACTGCACTTTCAGTCATATCACAGTTGCCTCAAAAATAAATACACACTCAAGAATTGTTAGAGACTGATATTTTAATAACTTCTCTTCTTCAAACTATATATAAAGTAGCCCCCAGAATTACCCCCAGGGTGTTTTGTTGGAGAGCAATTTGTTAAAGGAAATTATACTTCTGTGCAAGCAATTATAATACTGGTTTCTGTCTCTCTCAGGTTGTGAAAATGAGGAGCAACTTGGAAAGATTTCAGGTTACAAAACTCTGCCCATTCCAAGAAAAGATTCGGAGACAGTATTTAAGCACAAATGTAAGAGGAAAATACTCTTTTAATTACATGGAATTACGTGGATGCATATTAATAATTTGAATTGTAATTATCAGAGGATGGTAGCTTTGCAATTTCCTAGCCTAGGGCATTTTAACTTTTTGTTAACTAGGAAATGAGCAGAGGGAAGTTGGGTACATAGTTAGGCATCTCTTCTCTCCCTGTATAACTTGCTGAGTAATACCAGAAACTGTCAAGAACTATAATTTGAGTTTAGCCAAGCGAGACAGCCAAAAGGGGAAGTCATATTTCATTTATCACTTCCATCATGAAGTAGAACTTCAGCAGCTTCCCGCCCATCTCCCACCATGTCAGACTAAATGACCACAGACTAAATGCTGGAACAGAGAGTACAGTCGGGTGTCGCTTCCCCCGACCTGCCCAGCTTAGTAGTGCTCTGAACTGCCCCCTCTACAGGTACTTGGCAGTAGAGGCTCCAGGTCCTTTATCTAGCATACCTCCTTGATTTTAGTGAGATTACTCGTAGTGAATAAAAGGAAGAATCCAACCGAGTATCTGTTTTTCAGTAGCTGGGACATTTTTTTTCCTCTCTTCACCTTTCAGTTGGTAAGTCATATAGAAGAGATGCTGCAGACAGCCTACAATAAGTTCCACACGTGGCAGTCCCGGCGTATGCTGAAGAAGACGTGAAAATGCATGCTGTACAGGTTTGAGAGCAAAGTCTGCAATAGGTATAGGAGTACAACCTAGCATATGTGAAGATCTTATAGTTGCTGCAGGAAGACCTGCAAGCTGTGGACTTCTGGAAACGATGCTAACTGAACTTGCACATTTTTGAAAAAGAACTGAGATTAAACTTGAAAACTAGGGAGAAAAACAAGGAAGAACCAAAACAGAAGAGCTGAGGCGCAAAAATATTTAAAAGACACTGTTTACTGCAGTTACTCAGGAACTGCTTTTGATTTGCATAAAGAGCTGCTTTCAGAAATAAAAAATTTAAAGAGGGTGTATTAATAAAATCTTTCTGTGTAATTTTTTTTTTAATAAGTGTATGGCACAGGGTAGAACTCAAAAGTTTTTTCTTCACTGGATTCTGACATTGAATTCTGTTTGTACTTTCTGCAACAGTTTAACAATGATATTTTAAAATATAGCTGAGACTGTTTTTGCTTCAAACATCTGGGAGAGTGTAGCTGTCAGAAGACAAGCTTCTACCATATGTTTCCCCACTAATTGGAAGCAAGAGACATTGCACTGAAATCTGTTTGTGGTCTGGGGTCCCTAAAGGCACATGGGGGCAAATTTTTGCCTGAAGTCTTGGATTTTTATGCAGAATTTTTTTCAGCCATCAGTTTTGCATGTTTTCCTTTGAGTGCAAGTGTGTGCTACTGCAGTCTTTTTTTTACGGTGGCATCTGTTCTGAGGAGAGAATGCATTTTTTTAAAAAAATGAAGTTAAATAAAGTTTCTTACAAAAGAAGTCATTTATTTTCAATTCTTAAACATTTTTAGTTTCTTCTCCTGAATCTGTTTTCCTTCACTCTTCCCTTTTGACTGTTAAACTATTTTTGGCGAATTGATAATCATTGCAAAGAGAAAAATGTGTTATTTACACAATGTCCATAGATATTGGGAATCTGTGCCATACTTTGTTCCAAATAGAATCAATTCACAGTTTCAGACCAACTTGTCTTGTATTAAATGTGACTTAAATGAAAAGTAAACCTGTTTTCTACAATATATGCAGTTTAATGACATCCTTGTATTTTGTCGTCATCTTGACTGTACTAAAAGCCCAATATGGGCTACCAAACTTTTTTACTTCTGACTAAAGGTGACTGTTATAAGATGCATTTACTACAAAGACAAATCAGAGAGACAATATGTATTCAAAGCAAGCACAGCAGTGTTCAGTACGGCAGAAGAAATTCCCATTAGCCCACATGATGGCTTAATACTAGATTTTGCCATCATTGGTATGATGCTATAACATGATAGTATGATGTTGGGTGGATAATTCTTGCAAATTCCTACAGAAGAAAAAATGTATTTGTATAGCCAAGTCTGTGCTTGTTCTGTGCTGCTGCTCCATTTATGCAAGAGGGGGGGTTTTCTTTAACTGGTGCGTGGAAGTCAGCAGCTTCTTTTTACCCAGTGTTTTTGGATTTTTGTATTATGCTAGTATTTTGGTAAAAGCTGAGTTTCAGTTAAATGTCACTGTCTGCACCAGAATTCTGTTTGGAAATGTATGCATATTGTTAAACCTAGTTCCCTGTCTGCTTTTGCAGATAGATGCATGATACCTGCTCTGTGATGTTAATGTGGTTCTGCTCCAAGAAATGACTGGGCTCAACAAGACAGACGCCCATTATTTTTGACAGGGTGAAAATATCACTAGGAATAAACAGAAGTATGTACAGCATTTGGGGGATGAGGTGCACGTCTTGTCAAGAGTTACCTCTTGTGATAAATAAACTGTTCCTCTAAAATTTAGACTTAGGGTATGGCTTTATTAAGCCTAATCCTCTTGTAAGTGCAGGCAGCTCCCAGGCAGAAAGGGTAGTTTTGTTGTCCCCCACTCCAAAGCATTTGATCTAGCAATTCTGTGGTCAAATTTCAACTGTTCAGTGAAAGCTATAACACCTTTCATCGTATCAGAGGGCTAGGTTCAAGAAAATTTGTCTGATTTATATTCTAACTGTGCCTGAAGCTATGAACAACACATTTGAGTATTAGACTGCACTGAGACTTCATTGAAAAAAAAAAAATTATAGGAGAGTTTTGAATATGGAACTAATTCACCTTGATTTGAATCAGTATTTCGTGTTCCTGGAAAGACTGGGCTAAATGGATAGCACAGTGGAAAGTTTCAGTGCATCACAAGAGCATTTTACAGTTCAGAGAACTGGTGTTTATAATCATTATGGGGGATGGTGTTGCAATAGCTTTACAGTTATTACAGCGATATCAGGCTATCAAAATGTACCTTAATGAACAGAACCGGGGAGGAAGAGGACTATGATACGAAATTCAATGGTTTTGCCTGGAGACTGTACAGGCAAGGCTGCTATGCACTTCATATTGCTTTTTCAGGTATTGTGGCAATAAGGCACAGGCCCCTCCTGAAGTAAGGGAGGTAAACTAAATATTCTTTCTTCTACATTGTGTTCCCCTTTTCTGTAGCATGGTCCAAAACCCAGATTCATTCCTTAAGTTTTGAAACTGAATCATCATGCATTATATTACTATTGGAATCTTTATACTGACTTGTATTTTTAATGAGAATTCATAAAACTTGTATCATTGGCATTGATCTAAGATTTGTAGAATAAACCCTACTGAATTCTAAAGTCAAGTCTTCTCTAATGCTTAGGCTGTGTTTTCTGATGTTCAATTAAATCCCAAACAGGCTCCATTCAGGTCTAAGGTGAGAGCTGTGCACAGTGCTAGCTCACCTGTCCCTTCATGCTGGTAGAGGAGGTCAGGAGCAAAAGGATTACAATACAGTTACTGTCAAATTATTGCATTTTTAGGGGTTGAGAACTTTTTCTGCCACACAGGGAGTCTACACCATTACTAGTGCTGTGTCCCTCTGTTCCTGATCATACCAAAGCCAGTATAAGTCTCCAGGGATTAGTGCTCTGCTTGTTCCATATATTGCTCCAGCAGCTGTTGGTTCAGGAGAGCTGCACAGGCTGCTTTGTCAGCCATTCAAATCCAAGCTTTGCTGGTAATGGGGAAAGGATAACTTAAAGCAGATATTAACACAGGTCTGGCTCAGCTTAAGTGTAGCCTGTGAATTTCAGCAGATGAAAAGATGTACCACAAAAAAAAGGCTGGGCTATTCTCTCTCAACAAGAGTACCCCAGTCAAGGATGGGAAGGGACATGTTCCCACTGGAGCCATTCCTACAAGTCGTTTCTTGCCTGCTCACAGAACAGCTCTCCAGACTGTGATCTTCAGCTTCCTAATGTGACAAAGCACTGACTGAGGCCCCGTGCTTTCCCGGATGGGTGACTTTCCTCACCCCTGCTCTGAGATGCTTTTTTACAGCTGTAACTATTTTCCCTTTATATTGTAACTACATCCTTACAACTTCTACCATGAGGTTATTAGCTGGAAAGCTTACCTTATCCTTTCCAAAACTTATGTCCAACAGCTGCTTTATCCAGAAAGTCACGTGTGTAAGCGGGGGAGGTGACAACAAGAAAGCTTAAGATCTGGTTTTCCATTATCCATCCTGTTTTCCTTTCTTAAGAGAAGAGCCTACCCAAGCATCCCTGCTATCTGCAGGCAGCGTATTATGTGGCTTTGGAGCCTTTGTATTGCAGCACAGTTTCTGCCTGTGAGCCATGATACCCTGAACCTGTTTCCAAGCTCTCCCTTTACCTTACAGCAAGAGCTGGAGCACGATCCAGACAGAACACAGCAACCGCAGTTTGAAGAGCAGTCAGACATCACTGGTGAGCGAATGTTCATCCTCCACAACTGACCCCAGTAACTAATGGCAGATGTGCTCCTGCAGTAGTTTAAAGCTCAGGGAACTGTTAAATTCCCTAACACAATCTCCCAGATGTTTTTCAGGACACTGTATTTCCCCTCAGCTACTTCTGGACACACCATCTCCCCAAAAGATACCCCAAGTCCTTGTTTGTAACGCTGAGCAAGCAAATTCACCACTCTCCTCGGTAACAGCCATCAGGGCTCTGCCGTGGAAGAGACAAGCCCCAGAGGTACGAGATGCAGCCAGGGTGGTTGATCAGGCTGAAGCAGCAGCTTGGCTGGGGAGCACAGTGCCTGCTCGAGGGCACAGACCAGAGCCCAGAGGCCTCTGTGCCCCGCAGGCAGCCCCACTGGCTCACCGAGGAGCTCAGTGTGTTTGCAGCCCTGGTTCTGCCAGGCCACACAGTGCCCCTTCACCTCTTCTGCCCTCCTGGCGGCTTTAGGATCACAGCAGGTGGCAGAGTGCCACAACAATGATGTGAAAGACACCTTCAGGAATGCAGCCAAGGCTGGGACTCTTCGCTGGCATTTTCCCAGCCCGTGTGCCCTCAGCTGCTGTGTTTCCCACACAATTAACACCCCCATCCCCTCCAAAACCTGACAGCCCTCTGGTCTTCCTTCCCCCACAAAAGTCCACACACCCTTCATCCCGGTAAAGCCAAACTACTTCAGAAGTTCAGGTGCCAGCATATCCCCAAGGAAAAAATGTCTTGGACTTACACAGACCCTGTCCTCCCTGCCTGCTAAGATCCCCTTTATCGAGGTTGCTTTGTTATCACTTCACCCACAGCCCTCACAAACCATAAGTTAAATCTGAAGCTTTGAAAGCCACTCCCTCACCAAACACCAGATAAACCTGGACAGCTTTGTTCTCTAGAGCGTCAGAACCTACACATCCCCACTCCATCCCCTTACAACCAGAGTTTGTTCATGGATGCAATGTGACAAATGTATTACAATTACTGCGCCCAGCAGAAGCATCCTGGAGCACTGCTGACATGCCCCACTGCTACGCACCACCCTCCTCGAGTGCACCCCTACCTTCTGTGCTCACCCACATGCCTGCCCATCACCTCTGTGGCACAACGCTGGCCTCACCACACTGACACCATGCCTTGTGGCCTGGAGATCCCAGATCCTTCTGTATAACCTCCCTGTGACTCAGCTGCCAACACAGTCTATGTGCACCCCCAGCTGTGCATTTCATCCCCTAAACCATATGGGAAAGTGGTGTCCTGCTCTTGGCAACACTCATATCCTCCCCTGCAACTACCAGTCTGCATCACCTCAACAAGACCCCAACTGCAAGCTGCAGAGAAAAGATGGAAGGATTTGAGCCTACCTAAGCTTAAGTCTCTGTTAAAAAGACAAGGCCTAAACGCTTTGGGAATTGGCCAGAGATGACCAGACTTTCACTGCACCCGGAGTGTTGGCCTCGGGTGGGACTTCCAGCCTGTCACATGAATCACAGCAGCATGTTCACTTCCTTCCTGGCCTAACCTGCAGCCTCCCCACCTACAGCTGACAGGCTGATCCAGATAAAAGAGCACTGATAATAACTTTATTTGACATACAGCATGTCCCATGATCAGAACTGACAACTCAGATGCAACAGCCCCATGGTAGCCACTTCCTTGTAAGCACTCCCCTGTTTCTACCTTTGCCCTACTTCTGCAGATAGTATGTTAAGGAAATAAGCACTGGGTTGTAAAGCCACGTGCTTCCTAACTGATGTAAAGCCACGTGCTTCCTAACTGACAACCCCTGAGCCTGGGCATGGCTCCTCTGCCCGCTACCTGCACAGGCACCACGCTCCCCTCCCTTTCTGGGCACAAGCCGATCATCAGGTGAAACAGCATCAGCGAGGGACGAGGAGGGACATTGCCATCAGGCTGGTTGGTTTTGCTGGGCGTGCACTCGACAGGGGCAAAGATTGCACGGCCAGAACCAGAGAGCAGATATCCCAGCTGGCAAGCACCAAGCAGGAATTCTGTTCTGCAAGAAAAGGCCACACAAAGCATGTTGCAGTGAAAAATGCTTTACAGCAGCACAGAACAGGCACCTAGGTGCCCTCAAGCTCTGTATGGAGATGTTATGTCACCAAAAGCAGAATGCTTCCTTTTGCCCTGCAATGCTGCTGAGCTGAGGAAATTACACTCTCAAAGGCTTCCTGCCTTCCTAATCCTTCAGGTGACCAAACTGCTCGATAAAACCTGGCTTGTGCACACCCTGCCATGATTCCAAACAAGAATTTCAGAGTGTGGTGGTTGTGCCGCTGAGGTGAACATAGTACTAAACACACCAAGTATTCTAAGTGGAATACAAGAAGCCAGCTGACTGGTTGAAAATGGTGGAATCCTGATGACAGAGATCTCATTAGTAATTTAAGGAGTCACAGCAAATGCCAACTACCAAACATTAGCAGCTGATAAAGACCACCCATAAGGAGTGAGCTCACTCAGAGTCTCAAGGCTTGTCTGTCTCACTAGCACCTCTCCTAAGAATCTCCCGGGTTGACATGCTGAGCATGGCACTGTTCTGCATGGGACAGATGTGGACAGCAAGGGAGCAATTACAGGGAAAGAAAGCAGTCCCTCAAAAAAGGGACAGGAAAGAAAGCTCAGTTGGACTCCAAATGCACTTCAGGTAGGGGTGCTGCCATAATTTAGAATTTACATGGATCAAAAGAACACTGGAAGCTATTGAAAACTCAGGAAAGATAAGATAATCTCTCCAGCCCTCAGGCTAATTCCACCAAAATGCCACATTTCTTATGTCAAATTCTGTCACCAACTCCCCAACTGGCTCGTGCTGGTTTGCAGCAGACAGGGGAGTGCTGCTTTAGGGACCTCTGTCTCGGACTGGGATCCTGGGTGCTGCAGAAATTAAACAGTCTTTCTTCATGACTTGCCACTCCCTTGGGCACAGCTCCTCAATTTATCGTAACAAAAGCAAACATATACAACAGTCCAAAGACGAACACAGGAGTTACTACTAGATTTTGTGATAACCACTCTCAGGTGATAACCACTACTTTAGACTGAGTAAACACCAACACACCAGCATGATAAACCAGAATAAGAACCAGCTGTCAGAGCTGTGACCCAATCCTTGAATGAGGCCCTATTCAGCTAAAGTGATGGGGATCTCCATCCAGGGAATTAAGATCCATTTTTCCCCAGGAGCAGTATTTTTCCGGGGGTGGTGGGATCCCTCCTCTTCATCATGCTCCCGCCCCACCAAGTACTTCATGTCATTCGGAGTTACTAGTTACAATTTCTAGACTTTACATTAGAGAAGACAGACAATCGCCCTTCAGTTCTAGAAAGGTGGATGATCCCAGGTCACAGCCAGACCCAACTGGAAAGCAGTCAGACTGCCAGCTCTTCCCTTGGTGCTGATCTCTGTCTCATGAGGAGAGGCTCCATCCACAGCAAGTTCAAACCTCGCTCCCCAGACACACCAAGCCACACGGCTGACAGGCTGACTCGCTGCCAAGCACCCTTCATACCAAAGCATATGAGGGGCAAAAAAATCACACCCCCCCCTAAAAGCCAGTATCCATTCCCTTACCAGCTTCAGATTCACTGGTGCTGGCGATTCCCAACCCTGCTTGGATAATACCGTGACAGTCACCCAGGCAATGACATCTAGCTCCTACTCTGCTGTACCAGCAGGCAAAGGGACATGCTGCTCTGTCACCTCTCTGCTCCCCCAGCCTTCCTGCAGAAGCAATTGCCTTTTGTGGGACCAGGATTTGAACACAGCCTCAGGGCGACCAGCCCTGGGGGAACCCTGAAGCTGGATGAGTGGCAGCGTGAGCGTGGTTGGCAGAGCCTGGCCTTGA